GACTCTATCTATGTTTTGATTATCGTTCTGAATCCAATTCATAGTCTTTTTTCAGCTTTTTGTTCAAAATGTTGTTTATTTGTTTATTTTTTATTTATGAAACTTATCTACATTCAAGTGTTTAAAAAAAGAATGCATGAAGCTAGAATAAAATGTTTTTGTTTACAAGCAGATACCCTGTTCTTTTGATGTTTTGTATGTTCAGATATTCATGTAACAAAATATATACAAATTAATACCTAAATAGGGACATAGTAGTATACTTAAAGTATGATGTAAAGTTCACTTAAAGAAAACTTACGAGTATACTTGCAGTATAGAACTACTAAACTAGTAGTTTACTTAGACTATACTTCAAAGTGTACTAAAAATGCTACTACAAGTATTTAATTAGTAAACTATCAGTATACCTATAAGTTCACTTTTAGTATAGTTGCAGTACAAGCTAAAAATATTGTTGTAAACTAGTTGTGTACTTAAAGTTTACTACTGTTATACTTAAAAGTATACTTTTATATATTAGAAAGTGGGCCAATTTAGTCCCAAGGAGTATTGAAATAGTACACTTACAAGTATACTACTAGTGCACTGATATTTGTATACTTACTACATAAAGTATACTTAAAAATATACTTGAACTTTACTTAAGTATACTTACTAAAATAAACTTGAAGTATACTACTTTTTGGTAAGGGTATCCTTGCAGAGCAACGCATCGTGAGGACAGTGTAGTAAAAAGACAATTAAACAACAGGTTCAAGCACAAGAAAATACTGCACATCAGTATTTGTCTACGCTCAGGGAAATAGTACCAGTTAAAAAGCAATCAAACAAATTACTCAGTGCAGCAAGAAAATGAAACTGAAGAGCAACAATCAGAAAGATTTATGTCTGCAAGAAGTGTGGATAGCATGTAAATTCAGACAAAATCCTCAAAAAGAAGCAGACAGTTTTCCATTGGTTCTGCAGCTATCAGAGCAAGAGCTAAGGCTGAAGCAGCCCATGCACAGCTGTCCTTGCTGAACAAGAAGCGGATGTTGAAAACATCCACAGACATGAAAAAAACACTTCACTGAGTTTATGCAAAAGATGATGGACAATGATCATGCAGAAGTGGCTCCTCTTTTGGAAAAGGACAAACACTGGTATCTCCCAACATTTGGGGTATATCACCCCCAAAAACCAGATCAGATAAGAGTTGTGTTTGACTCAAGTGCTGAATTTGAAGGGGTGTCACTGAATCATGTGCTTCTTAGTGGTCCAGACTTAAATAACACTTTTTTGGGTGTCCTTCTACGTTTTAGAAGAGAGCCTATAGCATTTTCAGCAGACGTACAACAAATGTTCTACTGTTTTGTTGTTCAGGAAGAACATCGAGATTATCTCAGATTCCTGTGGTATGAGGACAACAACATGGAAAAAAATGTGATAGACTACAGGATGAAAGTCCACGTCTTTGGTAACAGCCCATCACCCGCAGTGGCCATCTACTGCACGAGGAAAGCAGCTCTGGAAGGTGAGAGAGAACATGGCACTGATGCCAAAAGGCTAGTGGAGAGACAATTTTATGTAGATGACTGTCTTGCCTCAGTAGCTACTCCTGAAGAGGCAATTGATATTCTGACAAGAACCAGAGAGATGCTGGCTGAATATAACCTGTTTTACAACATAAAGTCACCTCTAACAGAAAGCCAGTGATGAACGCTTTCCCTGTAGAAGATTGTAAAAGACCTTGATCTCAGTTCAGATTCCCTCCCTGTCCAATGAAGCTTGGGACTGTCTTGGAATTTGGAAACTGATCATTCATGCATGATCAAACATGATCATCATTTCAAGTTTCTCATGAAGAAAAGGCCTACACAAGAAGAGGCTTTCTTTCTACAGTAAACAGCATCTACGACCCTTTGGGATTTGTGACACCCATAACAATGCAGGGTAAAGTTATCATCAGGGAACTTTCACTCGAACAACATGAGTGGGATATGCCACTGCCACCTGAAAAACAAAATGAATGGAGCAAGTGGAAAGAATCATTAAATGTCATTGAGAACATTGAGATTCCAAGATGCTACATTTTAGCTTCACTAGCCTCGATGGAAAGGAAAAGAACTTTGCATCTTTTCAGATGCCTCAACAAAAGCCATAGGAGCTGTTGCCTACTTGCGAGCTATTGACAGTGATGGGCATTGTCACGTTGGATTTGTTATGGGAAAATCCAAGCTGGCACCAAGACCTGCACATACAATTCCACGGTTAGAACTGTGCGCAGCTGTGTTAGCTGTTGAACTGTATGATCTGCTCAGAGACGAAATGGACATTGTTTGGGACACTGTCAAATTCTATACTGACAACAAAATAGTACTTGGGTACAGTCACAACACTACCAGGAGATTCTATGTTTATGTGGCGAACAGGGTGTCTCGGATCAGGAAATCCACACACCCTGGCCAATGGGTTTACATCTTAACTGAGAAAAACCCTGCAGATCATGCTACACGACTTGCTCCAGCAATCCTGTTGCAACACACAAGCTGGCTTTCAGGACCACCTTTTTTATCACAAGTCCAAGCAGAAGAGATTCTTGACAAACAGGACTTTGCTCTCATAAATACTGAGACCGATGATGAGATTCGTCCTGATGTTGTGACTTTGTTAACCAAAACCTCACAGAGTCACCTAGGTTGTCATCGCTTCATGCATTTTTCTAGTTGGAAGACTCTCATTCATACTTTGGCCAAACTCATTCATGTAGCCGCATCTTTCCAAAAAGTAAATAATGCAGGTCATAAAGGATGGCAACAATACAGAGATCCATGCAGTGTTACAGAACTTCTCAAGGCAAAAAAAATGGTTATTGGTTCTGTTCAGCGTGAAGTATTCAAAGAAGAATACAAGTGCATAGAGAAGGGACAACCAATCGCAAAACAAAGTCCTCTCAAGAGCCTCAATCCATTTGTGGATGAAAATGGCTTACTCAGGATTGGAGGTCACATAGCCTCTGCCGATGTATGTGTGGAAGAAAAACAGCCTCTCATTCTTCCAAGAACGCATCACATTTCCACCCTTCTTGTGAGATATTATCACGAGCAGGTAGAGCATCAAGGACGACATATCACAGAGGGAGCCATACGAGCCGCAGGGTTTTGGATTGTTGGTAGCAAACATGTAGTGTCTACAGTCATTCATAAATGTGTGACATGTCATAAGCTGAGAGGAAAGTTAGAGTACCAAAAAATGGCAAATTTACCTGAAGACAGACTTGCTCAAGAACCACCGTTTACCAGTGTTTGACTTGATGTTTTTGGTCCTTGGACTATCCTCACACGACGCACTAGAGGAGGT